GAAGGGCTTTGCTGTTCCTGTGTTACATTCTGACCCACTTCATCTTTCTAGCCCTCCTGTTGAGCCTCGTCGCCCTCCTGCGCCACACGGACAGCTTTTACTATAATCAGTTTATTCGCAGTCAGTTCTCTGTGGATCTCGGCTCGGTGACCAAGCTGGCAGACATCTACAGGTGGCTGAACAGCGTGCTGGTGCCTCTGCTCCACAATGACCCGAATCCAACGTTTCTTCCCGACAGCTCCTCTAAAATCCTGGGTCTTCCCCTGCTGAGGCAGGTGAGGGCAAAACCTGGCGATAAAGCCTGCCTGCCTGCCAACAACTTTGCACAAACCAGCATGGAAGGAGAAGTCCGTTGTCATCCCAACTATGGCACTGACCCGGAAGATACGAGAAACTACTCTAGCCTTTGGACCAAAGTTGCGAAGAGGTCCGAGGACAAGCATACCAACGGGTTTACTTACAAGCCTCCGGAGAAGACATGGGGCTATTTCTCCCACGGACTCTTACACACCTACGGGTCAGGAGGCTATGCATTCTATTTTTTCCCAGAACAGCAGCAGTTTAATTCCACCGTGAGGCTCAGGGAACTCCAGAGCAGCGGCTGGCTTGACGAGAAGACGTGGGCCGTGATTCTGGAGCTGACCACCTTCAATCCAGACGTCAGTCTGTTCTGTAGCGTTTCTGTCATTTTCGAGGCGTCTCAGTTGGGAGTTGTGAACACGAGTATATCCGTGCACTCCTTCTCGGTTGCTGATTTCGACAGGGAAACTTCAGCAGAAGTCTACTTGTATGTGGCCATTCTCATTTTTTTTTTAGCCTACATGGTCGATGAGGGCTATATCATCACGCAAGAAAGGGCCTCCTACGTGAGAAGTGTGTATACTCTGCTCAACTTTGCTTTAAAATGCATATTTACCGTGCTGATTGTGCTCTTCTTCAGGAAGCACTTCTTGGCCACGGGCATAATTCGGTTTTACTTGTCGAACCCTGCAGATTTCATTCCCTTTCACGCAGTTTCTCAAGTAGATCACGTCATGAGGATCATTTTGGGTTTCCTGTTATTTCTGACCATTTTGAAGACCCTCAGGTATTCCAGATTCTTTTATGATGTGCGCCTGGCTCAGAGGGCCATTCAGGCGGCCCTTCCCGGCATCTGCCACATGGCGCTGGTGGTGTCCGTGTACTTCTTTGTGTACGTGGCCTTCGGCTACCTGGTGTTCGGTCAACACGAGTGGAACTATAGTACCCTGATTCACGCCACGCAGACGATATTCTCCTATTGCGTTTCAGCCTTTCAGAACACCGAGTTCTCCAACAACAGGGTTCTGGGGGTCCTATTCCTCTCATCGTTCATGCTGGTGATGATCTGCATATTGATCAACTTATTTCAGGCAGTGATTTTGTCTGCCTATGAGGAAATGAAGCAGCCCGTGTACGAGGAACCATCGGAGGAAGCGGAAGCAATGACCTATCTGTGTCGCAAGCTAAGAGCTATGTTTAGGTTTCTGACCTTCCAACCCAGGGACAAAGATGAACCAGAGTTCTTTGTCAACATGCTGTATGGGCAGCCAGAGAAGAACAGCCGCCGGTATCTGGGGCTGAAGACCAGAAACATCAATGGGAAGAAGATGGTTTATCTTGTTGTGTGATCAGTGACAGGGTCAAGAACCATAGGCAAGATTTCCCCAGATGCTCATTCTGTGGGTTTAAGGAATGTTCAATGGCTCAGTAGTGCTCTCTACCTGTGTCCTGGGAAATGCACACCCCACATTCGGAGGTATCTCCACCTTTGGCCTCTACTCTTGAGTGTTGGGGTAAAGGGCAGGTCTGCAGCATGGGAACCCAGGGCTGATTTCCCTCTAGAGGGAACTTAGTGTCTTTGGAGCCCACAGCAGTTTAGAGTGTTAGAGACCCAGATTTGGGGGAGAGAGAGCTAAAAGGCCCCTACTCCACCTCTCCAGGGAAGAGCATTCTCCTGTTGGGACTGTGTCCCTGGGGCAGGGAGCCAGGTGCCTGTGGCTCCCTCAGTCCCTCTGGGAGTTCCCTTTGCAGACCAGGGCTGGGGCACACCCCTAGCCGCCCCCTCCCCAGCCCCAGCCCCCACAATCCAGCTGGGCCAGGGTTGTAGGGACCTTGTGGTGAGTTTGGGATCTGTCCTCCTGCTTCTGAATTCAGGGATGGGACCTGACGGTCAGAAGTCTGAGCTTCCCATCTACTCCTTTGGGCTACTGCCAGTTAAAGATATGAAATTTAATAACATTTTCTGGCCATTAGACATGAATTTTGTTCAACAACAAAAAGGTGTGTGTGTGTGTTTATGTTTGGGGGGAGTGGGTTCACACTGAAAGATAGTGAATGTTCTATATATTGACTGTAACAATATATCCATGCACGACTTGGGCTTTGGGTTATTCACAGCATGGTGGACTATTTCGTAATAATAAAGAAAATGTGGTTTATTGTTAAAGAGCAATATGAGCTCGTAACTCTTATAGTTCTGCTCAGAAGCATGTTCATTTACGTAGATGCCACTTTAAGCTTTATCAGAATTAAATGTGAGATTTCTCCTGCAAGACTTGCAGTGATTTCTGGGCGAGGGGCATATATACAGACGTCTCCTGCCTTCCACATCGAGACCCAGTGAAGGGGGACAACGCAATCAGGTGGGTGACGAAGTTGTCCCAAGGCCTTGCTACTCACTCGGTGCCCCTGTGGTCCTGACTGTGCTGAAATAGCTTACACGCACACACATGGGAGTACCATGCCGCTCACCCAATAGTGTCTGAAGGTCTGATTTGGATTTTCTTTTTTTTCTTTTTTAAAATTTTATTGATTTATTTGAAAAAGAGATAGGAGGGCAGAGGGCGAAGCCAACTCTCCCCTGAGCAGGGAGCAGGAAGCGGGACTCGATCGCAGGATCCTGGGTTCATGACCTGAGTGGAACGTAGAAGCTCATTGATTGAGCCACCCAGGCGTCCCTCTCTTTTTACCTGTAAATGTGTGGTTTCTTTTGGGAAAAATATTTTAAAAAATATTTGAGATATTGTTCATCCTTTTAGATTTTTTTCTTATATTTTCTTATATTATCAACTGTGGACAGCTCAAATTCAAAATTAACTCTATTTTCTGACAACACCATGTTTGCTCTTTGAAGATTTCCCTTAGCTCTTCTAGTCCATCTCCTAACTTGTCTATCCTGTCGAACAGCTTTAACAGTATTCACGAGACAAGGTCATATATCTGAGTGGTTATAGGTCATATATGAAATGCTTCATCCAGATGGCCCATTTTTGGCCAGACCCAGAAGAAAAAGTCAAAACAGTATATAATCCTGGCATTGATCCAAAGGATGCCATTGCTGGAAGCACCCCGAGGTCCTATCTGCTAGTAAGAAAATCAGAGTACTTGTCCAAGTCCCGGAGTCCAGGTCCAGGAGTAGTTGTTATTGCCAGGATTACTAAAATGCCTTGTATATTCCTTCTTTCTCAGTTTCCCAAAGGAAAAAGGCCCAGGCCCCAGGCCTGCTGGCTTCAGGGGCGGCACAGTGCTTGGATTACGTAGGTGCAGAGGGGCCTGGAGAGGGGCAAGGTGGGGAGGCACGAGGGAAGAGCAGGTCTGAGACAGGGGACCCGGCGCCCCGCGGGCCGGAGGGCTCTCTGGAAGCTGGAGCAGGGCAGGCTCGGGAGGGACGGGACGGTGGGGCTCAGATCCCAAAGGGCGTCGCAGGCCACGTTGCGAGCAGCACAGTGACATGTCTGGAGCGCACAGCGCTTTATAAAGGCGTCGGGGAAGGACAGGCCTCCTTTGGAACTCATCTTGTCTGCTGCCTAGGTGGGACACAGCCACTCCTGCCTGTGTCGCTGGCCCAGGCCAGGGGACTCGCGTTTCAGGTGGGCCGGGGGGGAGTGGGGCTTTGGGTGGATGGTGTCAGCGAGTCAGGACCGTAACGCTGCAGCCCAGGCGCGTTGAGAGGAAGACGATGCGGGGCGGCGCCACAGCCGCCTGGACTCTGCGAAGCCCGGTGGAAAACCAAGAAATCAACGGAGAGGTTTGGAGTAGCCATTACAGAAGGCCCAGGGGGATTGCTCTGCCCGAGGAAGGCCCGATCTTCCCCTTCCGCTGCCGCGCCCCAAAGGCGGAAGTCCACCGTGAAATCCTGTCCAGGGCTTCCGGTGTGGGGCCAGGGCCGGTCCGGGGCCATGGCGGGTCCGCGCACGCGCCGCGGGTTGTCGCTGTAGGGAGGCGGGCCCGCGCACGCGCTTCGGTTTGTTGTTGTCGGGAGGCGGGGTCGCGCACGCGCCGCGGGCGGAGGGCCGTGAGCAGGCGAGTGGCGCACCCTGGCGGCGTGGCGGGTCCCTGCTGCCGGGGCGGCTGGGCGGCAGAGGCCTGAGGGGACTGGAGCGCCGAAGTCCGGGGGCGCGTGGGCAGGCCCGGAGGTGCGCGGCTCTGCAGGGAACTGAGGCCGTCCGGCGTAGGTGCGCGGGTCGAACAGCGGTGGAAGAAGCTGTCGGGAGCGCGTCCCTCGGCTGGCACCCGGTTCGAAGCACAAGGGGACGGAGAAGGAAACCGCCGGAGTCTGAGGCCGGGAGCGGAAGGACGGCGTGGGAGTCGCGCGGGCTCGCGGCCGGAACCTCCGCGGGCCGGAGACTAGGGCCCGAGAGCTGTGTGAAGTGGCGATGGTCAGGAATTGTTCGGAATCCGTGGAAGGCGCCAGGCCACAGGTCAAAGGCTTTGCTTAAGGAAGCCCAGGCCGGTGACAGAAAAAGGAGAACCTGCAGTGAGGTAGGTAGGTAGGTAGAGATAGATCCTCGAAGTCCCGAACGCCCCCACCTAAGGGATAATCGTGGGGGTAGCGGAGGCCCGTTCCGTAAGTGGCGCCTGGGGAGAGCCGCGGGGGCCAAGCCGGGCGGCGGGCGGGCGGGCGGCGTGTGCAGTGGAGGCTTTGAGATGCGCGCGTTCTTGGTTCTCAAGGTGACGTGCCGCCTCTCTTGAGCTTGCAGATGGAGGGGGAGGCAGAGCGCTGTCCCCTGGGCGTGTTTACGTGCCAGCTCTGTGCCCTGACAGCTCCGTACAGCTATGTGGGACAGAAGCCCCCCGACACCCACGCTGTCGTGTGAGTACACCGCACTCTTTGGGCTCCTGGCCCAGGAGGCCGCTGGCTGAGCTGCTTGGCTCGTGCCAAGCCTGAGTCTGACGTGTGGCTTGGGTGTCCTGCTTTAGGCCCATCCCTCCCCAGGCTCTGGACGCTGCAGGAGTGACCTACGGAGGCACAGGGCAAGGCTCAAGGGCCTTCTGGCTCCTCCAGAACCTCCAAGCCCCTTCCTCCCCACTCAACCCAGAGACCAACACCTGCTCCAGCTGTGACCTAGAAGCACTGTGGCTCTGGCTGAAGCAGCTCAACACCCGGAAATAAAAGGCCCCGTGGCAGCCTCTTCATTTGGGGCTGCGCCTTGTTGCCATTCCTCCTGGTTCCTGTGGATGCACTTAGTGGGAAGCCTGCCTGCCCTCTTAAGGCGCTGAGGGAAGTGGGTCCTAAGGACCCACTGCCCATGAATCTGCCCAGAACCCCCCTTGAGTAGAGCCAGTGGGTTCTGGGGCTTGACTCTTGACCTTTAACTTGTCCTTCGTTGAATGCCATGTCGTGGGGAACCTGACCAGTACATTGCTCACCCAGCATGTTACTCACATGGGATAGGTGGCAGGGGCAAGGCTTTCTCGTGGTTGGGTTCCTCTGCTGACCAGGAACACCATCATCACGGACCCCTGTTGGTCTCCTTTGATGTGCAGGGTGAGGCCAGCACCTTATGCAGGGTGTGAGGCGCCCTGGTTCTCCCTGCATGGTGGGAGCACGGCTTGGGAGTGGGCGTCACCGTGCTAGGACTGTAGGGAAGGGCTTAGAGAGCCCGGACGAACCTTGTGCTCCCTGCCCCCATCCCAGCGGGGCAGGTGGTGGTCTGGGGCCTTGCATTGCAGCAGTTGGGGAGGAGTGGTTCTCCCCACCACGCTGTTAGAGCTGAGAGCAGCTCTGATTTCAGTTCCAGCCTCTCCCCGATTGCTTGCCTTTCTGTTACTACTCGGTGGCACAAGGAGGACCAGCCCCTCCTCCCATGAACCTACCCAGGTGTGCGGGGGGGCCCGGGGGAGGTCCTTTCCATGCAGCTTCCAAGCTTCCATTAGTAGAAGTTCAGGCCGTTCTGACCTCTGGCGTCACTTACTGTCCTGCAGCCTCCTGGAGGAGAGTTACGTCATGAAGGACCCGTTCACCTCACACAAGGACAGATTCCTGGTCCTCGGCTCAAAGTGCAGTTTATGCAGCCGGCTGGTGTGCGTGGGCCCGGTGGGTAAGCTGCGTGGGCTGGGGCCGCCTCCCCTCCCTCTCTCCCTCCCTCCCTCCCTCCCTCCCT